CTGTTGAGGGTTGACTTTTTAGCTTCTTCAAGCACAAGGTGGAACCAGGAGAGAATTTGATTCTACATTCTTCGGATGCTGCCCATGCTCTGTGGAGAAGCCAAGTGATTTGAGATCATGGCTAGAGTTGGCTTCTCCTTGAAAATTAATTGTGAAGTTCTACCTATACTGCAGATTTTCTTTCTTTCTTTTTTTTAAATGGAAATTTCAAGCAGAACATAAGGAGAGGGAATAGTATTCATGAAACCCCACATGCTTATCTTGCAGGTCTAGCAACTTTTAACTCATGGCTAATCTTTTTTTATCCACACTCTACCTTATTCTTGCTTCCCAGGAAGCAATTTTAAAATAAATTCTAGACATTCTATTATCCCATCTATAAATATTTCAGTTGTTTCTTTAAAAAAAAAGAAAGAACTTGAAAAATATGTAATACTACCATCAAAACTAAGAATTAACAGTAATTCCTTCATATCTTTAGATATCTAGTACAGGAAGTTCTTGAATTTTCCCAAGTTTGGAAATCACCAAGGAAAAGTGTGATGCAATTAAAATGTGTACTTTGTAATAAAGATCAGTGGTTGGTCTGTATTCATCTGTAAAGTGACACATTAAATGCCTAGGCAAATTGTGAAATCATTTTGTAAAAGGCACATCTGCAAAATATCTGTAGTTTCCAGGAGCCTGTTATTTTCAGGGTCTCATGGAAATATGTGCAGTCTGTAGAGAAGCTGTAGCAACTGTGGCATCTGTTAGCAGGAGGAGTCTTCTTGGCTGGCGGGATGGTGAGTTTAAAGATCCACGGCTGGGCTGAGGTTATGTGTAGAGTTGCTGAACTCTGGTAAGAAATGTGAAAAGCTCATCCTCACCACACCCAGGTTATGCACCCAAATTCCTAGTCAATTTCTGTATTTTTTTTTTCAGCTAAATTTGTCCTCAATGAAAACCATACCTCTCTATCACTCAAAACCTATTTTTGTCTTTGATTGGGTATTGGTTGAGAACTTATCGCTGATCTAGTCAGACCTTGGGGCAGGGTGTGTGTTTTTACCCCACCTCTGTACATCCAAGCATGTTTATCTACCCATGGAAGGATGCCATTACAGATATGAACAGGACAGGACACATGAGTGTTAAATACAGTTCTTGGAGCTCTCCAAACATGGATTGGCAGTTTGCGTCAGAGAGAGTCAGAACACTACTTTTAAAACACAAAGATCTATTGCAGTTTCTGTTTAATATTAATTATTATTATATAATCAGTAAGTGGCTGGTTACTGCTCTGATTCGTTCTGGGACATTGTATTTTGAAGATCTCTGAATTCTTACTGAAAGTTTCCGCAGACAGCAGGAATAGACTTTTTAGCAAATTTTGCTGATATTTATTAATGTTTCTGTGTAAGAAAAGCATTTTGTTGTTTCTTGAAAGCATCATTTACAAGTTGTAAATGGTTTTCAATGTGCCATTGATAAAAAGTACAGCTCCCTTTCTTATTACCATGGGATAAGCCATCTTAGTTCAAGGGCCTACTCCCGGCTTTTTCAAACCATCCTACTTAAAATCCCAGGTGGAATTTGATCAGCATGTATTAGACAGTGCTATGTTCCAGGAGGGCAGATGAAAAGCAGCCCATGAGCAGACTGTTGTGCTTTTGATCTGCCCTCAGACAGAAGTCTGGCTAGTGCTGGGTTTTGTAATAAAAATCACTTCATCTAATGTTAATGTGGAAACAACTTGAATTGTTTGTGTGAATAAAGTTCTGGTGATCTCATTTAAACCCAGGAAATGTTATAGTCAGACCGTAATCCATCCTGTCTGATACCTGCTGTGCCCAGGTGTGGCTGTATCTTTCCTCTTCCTATACAACAAGGGAATCCAATCACTCTAGCCTTTATCTGTGCAGCCAGACTGCATAGGAGTTTTACAAGGTCTTAACCTTTTCAAATGCATAGTGACATCCCTGCCTAGACTCAAAACATGTAGCAAACATGGATCTTAGGGAATTTAACTTAGGAAGTAGACTTCTTTCTTCTTACCTCATTTCCCAATTAATAGGCTCATATCATCTTTCCAAAAATTCTAAATATGCAACCATTATGGGCTAAAAAAGTTATTTTGACAGATTTCTTTATTTTATTAAACCTATGAGATAGGCCTAAAAAACGTATGGGTGTTTCTAAAATTTCAATAAATGTGGTCATAATTATGGGAGTTGGATAACTATATGACGAATTGTAGGCAATATTTGAAATAAATTTTGTTCAAAACCTAGAATCATAATCTACATTTTTGTTGCAAATTGGCAGTTGAATGAGATTTAACTAATTTAATGTGGCTGGTTGAAAACCTTGTTTAATTCAATTACTTTAGGATCATAAACAGATATCAGATAAATATTCTGATGATGGCATTCTATGAAGCAAGAACTTGTTACATGCCATTTAGTTATGTGCTGGATACTGTATTGCTGTGACCAAGGTGCATTGAGAAACTGGATCCCTTTAATACCACCAAGATATCGAAAGGAAGCCATTGTGAGTTACTGCTTTGCAATAGTGCTTCTTAGGAGTGGGTTGACTGGGAGAAAGAAGACTATCAGATATAATCCACCAACAGAACTGTATTTATAGACAAGTGCAAAGAAAAGAAAGAAGCGGTTGGCATGGCAGTGTTACCAGCTCTCTCCTATCCTTGGAAGTACCCTTTGTCACAGCTCCCATCTGTTAAGTGGCTTAAACCATTTCCAGAAAACAATTAGGAAAGAGATTAAATGCAGTTGCTCCTCTGGATGACTGTAAGAGGACCATTATTGCTGCAGCAGACATCATCTATATTACACATGAAAGAGCTTGCTTTTCTCTTTATATAATTTATACATGAAAAATATGTTCAGCAGAGGAATGTAAGGTGAGGAACTGATGATAGCACTAAAAAATGTGAATCTAGTGGTTTAACATGAAACATTTGCAGCCAAGTTGCTGGCCAGAAAATTACTCAACAGCCAATTTCCTCTCTTCTTAAATTCATATACTGCTCTTTTCTCTATAGCTGCAGTTATACATGGCTCATAGAGGATGTGACTGATTTTTTAAAAAATAATTTCAACATATCTACAAAGTCACTCAATTTTCAAGCTTTTGCTTTTTACCATTTCTTTGTGCTTTTTTTTTTTTTTTTTTTTTTGGTCAATTCAGCGCCATAAATGTCCTACTACTGTTGCAAAAAAATCTCATTCCTTGATTCATGAATGAACAAATAGTGGAATACTAAATTATTTCAGAAAGTATGTAGCCATTGGGGATACAGAGATTAAAAAATGATTTCCTTACTCAAGGAGGCAGATGAAGAATTCAATGTGGCGTGATCTATATTCTGGTACAGATAAGCATCATCAGGGTATGAGTTGCATGGGGCATCTAACTCAGCTGGGCTTAGAGAGCCAACCTGGTAGATTTCTCAAAAGTGAAGTCAGTTGATATAATCTCTGGATGATGTGTTGGAAATATTCTGATGATGAAGTGAATGGAGGAAGGGTGTTCTTGGCGGAGGGAAAAATGCTTGCAAAACACATTAAGTCATGAAGGGATGTGGATGACTAAGGGATGCACAGGTCACCCTGTGTAGCTGGAGCATATAATGCAAAAGTTGGGGGAAAAGGTTGAAATTACAGGGATCACATACTGCGCCAATAACAAGGACACTTTGGGGTCATTTTTAATGTAGATTTCTTCTTTGGTTAAAACAACCAAACATAAAACTGGACAGAATAGCATTCTATACACAGTTCCAGACATAGTTTAATGTTTGATGAGAGGGGGAAAAATATTTTGAATAAAATGTAGGATTACAGAATGACCTTAGCGACCTTGTCTAGAACTTTCCGGTAGACGTTTGGCTAATGAATTTTGTTCACTTTGTTTGTCTAGACTTCTATGAACCAAAATAGCACTTGGGTTGTATTGAGGTAGGACATGTCTGTCCTAGTCCCTGGTGAGGATCTTTGGTCTCTTAGCTGCACTCCACTTTTCTTTCCTACTCTCCCTCCATCGCACATTTTCAAGCCCCATATTTGCTGCAAAGCCTGCTGAAATCGGAGGCCAGACACGAAAGTGTTAAAAGTGTCCAATGCCCATGTGTCTGGGGATTCTCAGTAACAAATAGGGGACTACAAGAGAAGCAGCAGAGATCCACAGGAGCCTACTCTGCACAGGCAGGAAGAATCAATGGGATGGAGGGAAAGTGACTGGAACCCAGAGACATGATTTCATTTTTTATCATCTGGTAACAAGTCTTCTGACCTTTCCTGCACTCTTCAGAATGTACTGGTCACCACACCAAAGCAGATGGACTGGGATGTGGGTGGTGTGGGGGACCAACGTCTTCAATATGTTCTCTTTGGGATTACTAACACATTGAGTATGTCATCACAAGATGCACCACATTTCCGAAGCTGATATTTGAACATGAGGGTCACACAAATACAAAGCATCATCCTCTGGCTCATCTCTCTCTCCTTTCTGATCCTCTAGCAAAGAATTTAAATAGAATATTTTGATAGCAAAAAAACACAAAAAACCAATGAGTGATGTCTTTATACCATGTTGTTCTCTAGACACAAATCTCCTCTGTCCTTTTGTGCTGACCTTTCTTTCCTTTTTTTCCACACAGAAAAAAATTTAAATTGGTTCATGGAGGGGTAGAAGGCTGAGAAGCAAATCCATATGTGTATTGAGATATTGATTATTTTTTGGAAAAAATATTTTACTTTAATAAACAACATGTGGCCATATTACTATTATTATCAAAAACTAAAACTAAAACTACTCTCCAAGCCAAAGCTTTTCGATTCAATCACTTTAAAAATGTCTGAAATAAATGAGCAGCCTCAACTATTGGTAAAATTTCATCTGTCAGGACATCAAGTTCCTCTTCCACTAGGATGTTTTCACCTAAATGATGTTGAGACTGCGAGATTGCTTTCAGTCTCTCTCATGGTTTATCTTGGCTTTTGGAACCCAGAAATGATGAGATTGACAATATAAGTGTACTTGGAGTACTCCTTGCATAAATTTTTATCTGGAGGTCTGTCTTGTCAACTGAACATTCCAAACAAATGAGAATTAAAATATGAGCACAGAGCACAGATCCCTAATTATTTAAAGGTTATACAAGTGCAGGATTGAGATACCTAGCAAAGGAATCAGGCTCAAAAAATGGCAAAGAATAAGGATGGTAGAATTACAGATCATAAGAGACAACTTTCTTCCTTTCTCTATCAAAGTTTGGGAGTTAAAGTCCTTAATTCTGTTGCAGATACAATTCGAATTTAAGTCCTTCCTCTTCTCATATAGAGATGTTATAATAATTCCACTCCAGTACTTTTCACAGACTTACGGTTTATTTTCTTCCAAATGACAGAAGCAGAAATAGAGGGGTTCCTTTGGCAGAGTTCTGTGTTTGAACCTTGAACCACCTCCTTGTCCTACTTTTTTAATCAAAACGTTCTTAGTAATTTATTCTGTGTGCTGATTGCTACAAGTAAACTCCTTGTTGAAAACCTTTTGGCGATCACGGGGGTTAGCCTTTCTTCAAGCCACCACAAAAAATCTTCACACTGGCACACCTGGGAGGATAAAATGCTGCCTAGCTTCTTCTTTACAAAATCCTCTAAGCTCACATGGGAACATTTTATAATATTTGAGAAATATGTGCTTCGGGAGCTTAGCCTATCTCCTAAACAGAAATTAAAAATTCCTTTTACTGAAGAATGAATACTTCAGATTATATTTGTCTGTGCTCTTTCCCCATCTTCTTGACCTTAGAAGAGCAATCTTTCAAATTTTATCTGTTTCTGCAAATTGTTTTCTCAAAATCAGAATAGAAATATGGTCAATGGTCACTTGACGGTTAGTCTGGCATAATTCCTAGAGGAAATTTAAAAAAAATTAAAGATGAGAGAAGTGTTACAGTTTGAATGGTCTATATTAAGTGAAATCAGCCAAGACAATAAACATTAGCTCACTTGAATAATCGGCTAAACACGCATTGTGTGTGTGTCTCTGTGCGTATGCGCGCACACACACGTGTGAATGTATGTTTGCATGTGCTTATGTATATATTTTTGTAAATTTCATTGAAGACCTTATTCTGCTGATAGTGTGACATTTAAAACACTAATATGAAAAATTAATATTGCTTTTATGAGCTCTGGTTCCAAGAAGCCCAAGTTCTTCCAAGCTTTTGTAATATAAAACAATAAAGCATAAATTAACAACAAATAAGAAATTTATTTGGAGTCTTAAAATATTAGTTATTTTAAAAAATTGTATTAATTTTATTTGGCAATGCATGCATATAGTGGAAATAATAAAATATTTTTAAAGGCATCCATGTAAACTAAATTTTTCTCTTTCCTCCGTTCTCAATAATCCTGTCCACCTTCCCATAGGAAAACTCTGTTACATATTTCTTGAATATATTTCCTGAGATTACTTAAGGTAATTGTATGCACACATATATGTGTGCATATATCTACTCCCACACCCCCCACATACACATTGAAATCTCATATCCTCACTTTTAAATCCATGATATTGCAAGCAAAAATTAATCAAACTAATCTAATGTTAAAAACACAAGTGTTTACATTTTGGGCAGAGAAATATTTGCCAACCTTGACCTACTCTATTATCATAAAGAAATTCTTTTCTAAGCAACAGTTTGAAAGAATATGTTTTCATATACACTTGGATATCACCTTTTGAATTTTGAATGTAATTTCCACTGGAAAAAGAAAAATTGATTCTATGTACAAATAATAGAAAATAATAAAAACATACATCATCTATTTATCATACTTGGTATGGGGAGGAAAGGTATTTGTTTTGTAAAGACCCACAGGATATATGATACAAAAAAACCCCACAAAGTTAAGTGCTGCCAACAAGACACAGGTGTATACCACATGAGGATATGAGACAATCCAGCCATAATGGGTGTGTTGACAGCTCTGAGTCCACACTGCATTCTTCCTAAAGTGCACTGGTGTGTTCGTTATGTGTTATTTTACTTTTTCATATAGCTTTAGAAATTCTCAAGCCTGCCCTTAAGCCCAGTGGCTAAGTCCTAGGAGCAAAGATGAACTTTCCTGGAAATAGTGGTTGTTGTCAGGGAATCTCTTACTGAGACTCGTGCTGTCAGGGAACCCCCTCACCCCCCACCCCCATTAGAGCCTTGTCTATCTGGAGATAATATTTGGTCCACATCTTACATAGACCAGCACCATCTATATGATGATACATGAGACATCATTAATATTTGCAACAATTCTTTAAAGCAGTGTTTCTTTATCTTACCTGATTGTATGGTCAACAGGAGAGAATTAAAATACAGATTCCTGGACCCCATCCAGTCTTACAGAATCTCTAGGAGAGTAATCTCTGAATAAGTAGTTTTTAAAGAGACTCCATGGAATTTTTTATGATTAGTTAAGTATGGAAATATAGCTGAAGTTAGAAATGCTACATCCACTTTAACCAGGAGGAAACTGAGACTCTGTAATTTAGATAAGGATACCAAAACAAATTAATTTTGGAGGCATAATTTAAAACATAGAATGATTCCAAAATTTGTCCTACCATGTTACATCTCTGAAGATCATGAGGTCAGACAAATTTGTAAATCTATAAAGAAAATTTTATACTATAGACAATCAATCCCAGATTTGAGAGAGACCTTAAAATTGTGCAATTTCTTCCTCTGTTTAGGCCAGGGCAGTTGTACTTCACTAGTTGCAGAATTATGAAGGACTTCATAATTATATACAAGTGATAAAGGGCTCCAGCCACTGCTGCAAGTTCTGAGATACTGCTTTGTGAGCCTGGCATGAAAGTGTTTTGTTCTATATATTTTAAATTGGGGGATGGCTGAGAGCTGAACAAAGATAACTAGGAGCCAGGTAAACCACATCTTTTTGCTTTCTCTTGGTATCACCACTATATGGAAAAGGTTAGCTTGCCCCATTCACTCCATGATCAATCATGTCACAGTTGAGAACATGGTCTATATTCAAAGTGAAAAAGTCCCTAGAATATCCTTTCTGCTTAATAATATACAGAGAACAGAATGAAGCAACCAAAGTTAGAGAGCACATGTCTTTATTTCATATAATTATTGTTTCTTCAGATTTTTTATACATTAGAGAAACTAATGAACCATTGTGAGAAATCTATCATTCCTAATCATTTGTAATCCAGGGAGTATCAGTAGATATTCTCTTGGCTTTGAATGTGTGCATCAAAGATTTTTTTTTTACCTTTCTTATCTTTAAAATAAATATGTGGAAAATGTACTCAAATATTTTCCATGGGGTGCACAGTTTTAGCTACTTTAATGGAGTCAATTTCCAGATTCTCAATTTGCATGGTTATTTGTTCTTAAAATTGTCCAGGAATATGCCTGAGTTTGTGAGAGCTTTTTTTTTTTTTTTTTTCATTTTGTCAGTAAAAATTAAAAAAAAAAAAACCCTCAACATATTCCAAGTTTTACATTGGCCAAAGGAACAAGAACTGTTTTGTATGTCAAACAAAAATAAAATCTTGAATTCTTATTTTAATAAATATATTATTAATGAGTTGTCTTAAACTCTCTTTCCTTAGCTTATCTTTATTAAGTAACACTTAACCCCCATTGAAAATTCTGATGCAAACATTCAAAATAGTGGTGGTGATTTGTATATGTCAAAATTTAGCTTAATAATTTCCACATTATTTTTTAAGAAAAAAATGCTTATGGGTATATATCTTGTGATTAATTTTAGGATCAGTAAATAATAAGTAGTTAAAAGATATTTTATTGAATCATATAATATTACTATGAACTAAATCTTATAAAATGCTTAACATTAGGTATCACATTTTTAAATAAAACAAATTTAAACACATGCCAAAAATTTTTTAGATCTCCAATGGATGAGATTATGTTCTTCAAATTTGTCTTAGGATTAATAGGGAAAATATGCAGATCACTGAACTAGTTGTTAAAAGTATCTGGGTCATAGTTGTTGTTCAATAATTAAAATTTGAATCAATATTTATCAGCTAAACTGATACCGAAGCAGCTGCCTTCATGAACCTTTATGAACACATCATGAAATATCTGAACTTTTCCCCTCAGATTTAATGTGGCTTAGGCCTCTTGACCTGATGTTCATGAATGCACAAAGATGCATAAAATACACCTCTAACCCCTAGAGGTAATTGAAGATATAGGAAAAGATATGATTACACAGCCTTTGGCAGACAGTATACAACTGCACATGGCCAGATTGAATTCTAGGTCCCTGCACCTTCCAAGGTTGCAATTTTACTGTTTGATTTCAAAATGACCACCTTAAGGGTATTGTACTTTGTGTGTTTGTGGAAATATACTTCTACCATGTGGAATAGCATAAAGGGAAATTAATGTTTTCTCTGAGGATTTGCGGCAAGACAATCTGATCTGGTTTCCCAAATGTAGTTGCCAACCTTTGTTGGGTTCCCAGAACCCCCAATATGTTCCTACCCTCAGCCCTTTGCTGTTACCTCTCTCTGTCCACTCAAATGTTATTTTTTCCCACAGCTGGGTTGTCCCCTGCAGGCTTCTTCTGCTTGACCAATTGATGACGTT